TTGGATGATTTCACTCATTTGTGGAGTATAACAACTAAGCAAAAACAGAAGGAACAAAACAGCAGCAGACTCACAGACCCTAAGAAGGACTAGCAGTTACCAAAGGGAAAAGGGCTGGGGAGGGTGAGCCAGAGAGAAGGGATTAAGGGGCATTATGATGAGCACACATAATGTAGGTGGGGCATGGGGAACGCAGTATAGCACAGACAAGACAAGTAGTGACTCTATAGCATCTTACTACACTGATGGACAATGACTGGAATGGGGTATGTAGGGGACTTGATAATAGGGGGGAATGTAGTAACCACAGTGTTGCTCACGTGAAACCTTCATAAAATTGTATATCAGTGATACCTTAATAAAAAAAAGAATTTGGAGAAATTGGAATACTCTTATATTGCTGATGGGAATGTAAAATGGTACATTTCCCTTTGGAAAGCAATTTGGCAGTTACTCAAAATGTTAAACATAGAGTTACCATCTAACCCAGAAACCACACAATTTGGTTTCCCTATGATAAATTAAAATATAAGTGATCATAACAGCATTTTCATAATAGCCAAAACTAGAAACAACTCAAATGTCTACCAGTGATGGATAAACAAATGTGATATATCCATACAGTGAAATGTTATTCAGGTATAAAATTGAAGTGCTGAAAATGCTACACATGGATGGATCTTCTAAACATAATAATTGAAAGAAGCCATTCACAAAAGACCACATTTTATATAATTTCATTCATGTGAAATGTTCAGAATGGACAAAGACATGGAAACAAAGTAGATTAGTGATTGGTTGCCTAAAAAATAGGGAACAACTGCTAATGGACCTGGGGTTTCTTTTTGGAGTGATGAAAATGTCCTAATTTAGAGAATGGGGATGGTTGCACAACTCTGAACATACAAAAAAAACCACTGCATAGTGTTCTTAAATGGTTAAATTTTATGGTATGTAAATTATGTCTTAATGAAGCTGTTTAAAATCACTGTGTTGAGTTTACAGTTCAGCAGTAGTCCATTAGCTTGTTCTAATCCATTTTTCTCTTGTTAACTAATGCATAAATATCTTCCTTGTTTTAAAAATAGAATATCTTCTCAAACACTGGATACACATTTTGCCTATTTGAAATGAGTGGTTTCCCATATTGGATTAAGAAGATTTTTAACATTATACTTCTGCCTCAGTCCAGATTAATTTGATTATCTTCAGTTATTTGATTCAAAGTCCATTCCCCAGCTCAGTACTGACTAGTTCTTTCAGCGTAACTCTCCAGAAATGAAGCACCGTGTCACATCATTTTGTTTTCATTGTTGCAACCCTGCTATCTCTTAGAGCACAAGAGTTAATATAAAGTCTAATTAAACTGTCTAGGACCTCAGAACTTACCAAGTTTAGATATAGATATGAATTTCTCTGGTCCCGCCTATTGGGAGCTGTGACATCTTGGGCAGATTTTAAACAGAGCTTTTTCTTTTGGAAAATGGACCTGCTTTTCAGTAGTGGTTGTGAAGAAGAAAAACATCCTATGTGAAGTACTTAGCATAGTATCACATCAACTTTAAAAAAAGTGGCAGCTCTTATACTGATCTAAGACTTAAAAGAAATCTGAGTGTTGTAGGACATGTTTTAACAGGGCCTATTTGGAGTAACCCAAGCCTCACAGCCTGGAGGTCTTTTTGGGACAGCCACAAACACCAGCACTGGGACAGCATTTGGAACAGGAACAGGTCTCTTTGGACAGCCCAATACTGGATTTGGTGCTGTTGGTTCGGTAAGTTTTCACAGGTGACTATGATGGTATGTATAAATCTGTTAAAGGAATTTCTAAGAAAGATTTGACTGCCTTTCAAATATTTGTGAAATTATATGATTTAATAGCAACTATAAGAGCTCTTTTGTGCAGAAAGAACATAGTTAACTTTAATTTTCAGTAGTAACTTCATTTTTAAATTTCTCTGCCTCAGTGCTTGTGTACAGTTTACTTTTGATAACAAAATACCACTTCAGTTGGTTAAATTTTTTAGTCTAAATTGAGATGCTTTCACTCTTAAAATCAGCTAATTTTTAACTCCTATTTCTAACTTTAGTTTTAGGTGATAAATTGGTTTTGGGTGATAAATTGGTATGACATTTGCAAATTAAATTTTTTTGGTGTTGATCAAGTTGCTAAAATTGTTAATGTTCTCATGGTTTTCATGCTGCTGGAGGCTTAACTGTATTGTTTTCCTTGTTATGTCATTTAAGTAAAAAATTACTATTCAGGAATGCACTTGACCTAAAAACAGTTGTAAATTCTATATAACGATTTAAGCTATACACAAATCAGTATGAAGTAGCCAATCTGTATTATGAACTCATTATAAAACATTTAAATATGCCATTGTGGATAGTTTTTTAAAAAGTCCCCAAAATATTTAGTAGTTTATTTGGAGATTAAAATATGTTATTTCTTAATTAACTTTGGGTAGCTAATTGAGGTGAGAAATTGAGAAACTTACATGTGCTTCAGAAAGTTATTTTTAAATACCTTCACTGAGATGCAATCCACATGCTATATAATACCCTTTAAAGTTTATAATTCAGTGAGTCTTTAGTATATTGACAGATTATGCAACTATCAAACTGTGGCCACTTTAGAACAGATTCATCATCACCTTACACAGCAAGCTCACACTCATAAGCAGCCACTTCTCATTTGCCCTCAATCACTCCAGCCCTGCAGTCTGTGGATTTACCTATTCTGGACATTTTCTATAAGTGGAATCACATCATGTGTAGTCTTTTGTGACTTTCACTTAGTATAGTGTTTTGAAGGTTCATCCATATTGTAGGATGTTTATTTTTTATTGTAACTATTTCTACTGACAAATTATATACATGGTACATTTCTGTTACCAGGAAAAATATTTGATTGCCTTGTGATTCTTTCTTTGTCTCACTGAAATACTGTGTTTGCTAAGGGGTTATTGTTAACTTCTCAGTTTAGGGCCATTCAGGTAAAAGTTAATGTTGCTCAGATTAGTATATTTTTCTGATAGTCTTTATTCATCCTTCTCCTACCTTTTTCATAAAAGTTAGGATATCTTTTCTCCCTCACCCCCACCTTAATCCAGTATACTTGAGATAACCTCTGTTTACTGTTTGGAGTATATTTTATTATTACTTAAATTTTTCTTGTATTTTTTTCTTTTTAGACCCTGTTTGGCAATAACAAGCTTACTACATTTGGAACCAGCACAACCAGTGCTCCTTCTTTTGGTACAACCAGTGGCGGGCTCTTTGGTAACAAACCAACCCTGACTTTAGGAACCAATACAAACACTTCCAATTTTGGTACATATAAAAAGCAGGTTTGGCTCTCTTAAAGTTATACTGACTATACCACACATCATTCTCCTGATTCATGTGATTGGGAATATTAAAAAAATTATCAGGTAAGCTGTGGACTCAATGTGAACTACTAGGGGGAAAGATTTAAACTCATGGACTTGGGTTGAGATACTTAGAGATATAAATTGCCTTTCCTCATGCATATTCTCTCAGCTCCCACTTTGGATAAAATGGGCCATCCAACACATGCAGTAGTGCCTTGCAGGAAGTTGGTTCTCTAATGGAGATGGTTGGTTTGTTTTTCTTTTTTCAAGATAAGGAAACATGATTTTTTTTGGATTACCTCACCAATAGTTGAAAAACCATCTGAAACACATTTTGTTGAGAAACCACATTCTGTTAGGCCAGGTTTCAAATGGGGAAGTAGTACACAGTTGAGATTTCATGGTTTTTTTTCTTTTTTCTTTTTGTTTTGGTTTTGTTGTTTTGGAGATTTGATGATTCTTATTGAAAGTTGAAGTCTTCCTGATTAGGGAGATTATGCAACAGTTTTCCTGCAGTTGCAGAAGTTTTGTTTAGAATGTATCTTCCTTGTAAAGAATTTGGAAAATACAGATAAGATAGATGGATAAACAAATGTGATATATCCATACAGTGAAATGTTATTCAGGTATAAAATTGAAGTGCTGAAAATGCTACACATGGATGGATCTTCTAAACATAATAATTGAAAGAAGCCATTCACAAAAGACCACATTTTATATAATTTCATTCATGTGAAATGTTCAGAATGGACAAAGACATGGAAACAAAGTAGATTAGTGATTGGTTGCCTAAAAAATAGGGAACAACTGCTAATGGACCTGGGGTTTCTTTTTGGAGTGATGAAAATGTCCTAATTTAGAGAATGGGGATGGTTGCACAACTCTGAACATACAAAAAAAACCACTGCATAGTGTTCTTAAATGGTTAAATTTTATGGTATGTAAATTATGTCTTAATGAAGCTGTTTAAAATCACTGTGTTGAGTTTACAGTTCAGCAGTAGTCCATTAGCTTGTTCTAATCCATTTTTCTCTTGTTAACTAATGCATAAATATCTTCCTTGTTTTAAAAATAGAATATCTTCTCAAACACTGGATACACATTTTGCCTATTTGAAATGAGTGGTTTCCCATATTGGATTAAGAAGATTTTTAACATTATACTTCTGCCTCAGTCCAGATTAATTTGATTATCTTCAGTTATTTGATTCAAAGTCCATTCCCCAGCTCAGTACTGACTAGTTCTTTCAGCGTAACTCTCCAGAAATGAAGCACCGTGTCACATCATTTTGTTTTCATTGTTGCAACCCTGCTATCTCTTAGAGCACAAGAGTTAATATAAAGTCTAATTAAACTGTCTAGGACCTCAGAACTTACCAAGTTTAGATATAGATATGAATTTCTCTGGTCCCGCCTATTGGGAGCTGTGACATCTTGGGCAGATTTTAAACAGAGCTTTTTCTTTTGGAAAATGGACCTGCTTTTCAGTAGTGGTTGTGAAGAAGAAAAACATCCTATGTGAAGTACTTAGCATAGTATCACATCAACTTTAAAAAAAGTGGCAGCTCTTATACTGATCTAAGACTTAAAAGAAATCTGAGTGTTGTAGGACATGTTTTAACAGGGCCTATTTGGAGTAACCCAAGCCTCACAGCCTGGAGGTCTTTTTGGGACAGCCACAAACACCAGTACTGGGACAGCATTTGGAACAGGAACAGGTCTCTTTGGACAGCCCAATACTGGATTTGGTGCTGTTGGTTCGGTAAGTTTTCACAGGTGACTATGATGGTATGTATAAATCTGTTAAAGGAATTTCTAAGAAAGATTTGACTGCCTTTCAAATATTTGTGAAATTGTATGATTTAATAGCAACTATAAGAGCTCTTTTGTGCAGAAAGAACATAGTTAACTTTAATTTTCAGTAGTAACTTCATTTTTAAATTTCTCTGCCTCAGTGCTTGTGTACAGTTTACTTTTGATAGCAAAATACCACTTCAGTTGGTTAAATTTTTTAGTCTAAATTGAGATGCTTTCACTCTTAAAATCAGCTAATTTTTAACTCCTATTTCTAACTTTAGTTTTAGGTGATAAATTGGTTTTGGGTGATAAATTGGTATGACATTTGCAAATTAAATTTTTTTGGTGTTGATCAAGTTGCTAAAATTGTTAATGTTCTCATGGTTTTCATGCTGCTGGAGGCTTAACTGTATTGTTTTCCTTGTTATGTCATTTAAGTAAAAAATTACTATTCAGGAATGCACTTGACCTAAAAACAGTTGTAAATTCTATGTAACGATTTAAGCTATACACAAATCAGTATGAAGTAGCCAATCTGTATTATGAACTCATTATAAAACATTTAAATATGCCATTGTGGATAGTTTTTTAAAAAGTCCCCAAAATATTTAGTAGTTTTTTTGGAGATTAAAATATGTTATTTCTTAATTAACTTTGGGTAGCTAATTGAGGTGAGAAATTGAGAAACTTACATGTGCTTCAGAAAGTTATTTTTAAATACCTTCACTGAGATGCAATCCACATGCTATATAATACCCTTTAAAGTTTATAATTCAGTGAGTCTTTAGTATATTGACAGATTATGCAACTATCAAACTGTGGCCACTTTAGAACAGATTCATCATCACCTTACACAGCAAGCTCACACTCATAAGCAGCCACTTCTCATTTGCCCTCAATCACTCCAGCCCTGCAGTCTGTGGATTTACCTATTCTGGACATTTTCTATAAGTGGAATCACATCATGTGTAGTCTTTTGTGACTTTCACTTAGTATAGTGTTTTGAAGGTTCATCCATATTGTAGGATGTTTATTTTTTATTGTAACTATTTCTACTGACAAATTATATACATGGTACATTTCTGTTACCAGGAAAAATATTTGATTGCCTTGTGATTCTTTCTTTGTCTCACTGAAATACTGTGTTTGCTAAGGGGTTATTGTTAACTTCTCAGTTTAGGGCCATTCAGGTAAAAGTTAATGTTGCTCAGATTAGTATATTTTTCTGATCGTCTTTATTCATCCTTCTCCTACCTTTTTCATAAAAGTTAGGATATCTTTTCTCCCTCACCCCCACCTTAATCCAGTATACTTGAGATAACCTCTGTTTACTGTTTGGAGTATATTTTATTATTACTTAAATTTTTCCTGTATTTTTTTCTTTTTAGACCCTGTTTGGCAATAACAAGCTTACTACATTTGGAACCAGCACAACCAGTGCTCCTTCTTTTGGTACAACCAGTGGCGGGCTCTTTGGTAACAAACCAACCCTGACTTTAGGAACCAATACAAACACTTCCAATTTTGGTACATATAAAAAGCAGGTTTGGCTCTCTTAAAGTTATACTGACTATACCACACATCATTCTCCTGATTCATGTGATTGGGAATATTAAAAAAATTATCAGGTAAGCTGTGGACTCAATGTGAACTACTAGGGGGAAAGATTTAAACTCATGGACTTGGGTTGAGATACTTAGAGATATAAATTGCCTTTCCTCATGCATATTCTCTCAGCTCCCACTTTGGATAAAATGGGCCATCCAACACATGCAGTAGTGCCTTGTAGGAAGTTGGTTCTCTAATGGAGATGGTTGGTTTGTTTTTCTTTTTTCAAGATAAGGAAACATGATTTTTTTTGGATTACCTCACCAATAGTTGAAAAACCATCTGAAACACATTTTGTTGAGAAACCACATTCTGTTAGGCCAGGTTTCAAATGGGGAAGAAGTACACAGTTGAGATTTCATGGTTTTTTTTCTTTTTTCTTTTTGTTTTGGTTTTGTTGTTTTGGAGATTTGATGATTCTTATTGAAAGTTGAAGTCTTCCTGATTAGGGAGATTATGCAACAGTTTTCCTGCAGTTGCAGAAGTTTTGTTTAGAATGTATCTTCCTTGTAAAGAATTTGGAAAATACAGATAAGATTGACTAACAATTAAAAATATAAGCCCTAAACTACTCTTCAGAGATAACGGTGTGAAAAAATTTAGACCCATTTAATAGAAACATTGTATTATTTTAAATATCTTCTGTAACTACCTATTTAAGTTTTCAAAAAATTCAACATAATATGAGGAGCCAAGATGGCGTGAGGAGAACAGCGGAAATCTCCTCCGAAAGCCATATGTATTTTTGAAAATACAACAAATACAACTATTCCTAAAAGAGAGACCAGAAGATACAGTACAACAGCCAGGCTACATCTACATCTGCGAGAACTCAGCACCTCAGGAAAGGTTTAAGATACAAGCTGCAGCCCGAGGGGACCCAAGTGCACCCCCCATTCCAGCTCCCTGGCGGGAGGAAAGGAGTCAGAGCAGGGCGGGAGGAAAGGAGTCAGAGCAGGGAGGGAGTGGAAGCCCAGAACTGCTAAATACCCAGCCCTAGTCATCTGCACCAGGAGCGCAGACACACATTGCGTGGTGTGCTGGATATTAGGGAAATGGAACAGTAAAATCTGCGAGTGGGTCCCGCAGCCAGCAAAGCTGGGACGAAAGAAAAGTGAGTGCTTTTTGAAAGTCTTAAAGGGACGGGCCTCACAACTGTATGGAAGCTTTGTGGCACACTCAGCCCAGCAGCTGGGAATCCAGGGGAAATTCAGGCACTCCAGGCCCCTGGGAGGCAGTGCAGCTCTGAAGCCCCTCATGGGGATAAACAGCCTGTCATTCATTCACCCTGCGGCATGGCCCCACCATAGCAAGGGAGCAGCCTGAGAGTGGCCACGCCCACAGCAACTGCCCAGAGACTCCACCACACCCACCCAGGCCAGATGCAGAGGCCCTGCAGGCGCACACAGAGGAAGCCGGGACAGGGGGCCAAGGGTCGCCGTTCTCACAGGAGAGCACACTCGGTGTTCCTGCCCCTCCCCGCAGGATTCTGGGATGCCCCAACGGATGCCCTGCCTGCGGTGGCTCAGAAAATAAAACCGGAAGCTGCTCCATGGACAGCAAGGTGACAGCAATCAGGAAGGGACATTGTTCTCCAAGCTAACACACGTGCCAACTGCCCATAACTACCTCTATAGCCATGAAAAGGCAGAAGAATGATTCAGTCCAAAATCACCCAGACAACCCCTGAGAGGGGACCTGGAGAAATAGATTTAACCAATCTTCCTGAAAAAGAATTCAAAATAAAGGTCATAACCATTCTTATGGACCTGCAGAGAAATATACAAGAGCTAAAGGATCAAGTTAGGAGGGAGAATACAGAAATAAAACAACCTCCGGAAGGACTTAAGAGCAGACTGGATGAGGTGCAAGAGGCCGTTAATGGAATAGAAATCAGAGAACAGGAACACAGAGAAGCTGAGGCAGAGAGAGAGAGAGAAAAGTATCTCCAGAAATGAAAGATACTAAGAGAACTGTGTGACCAATGCAAATGGAACAATATCTGCATTATACGGGTAACAGAAGAAGAAGAGAGAGAAAAAGGGATAGAAAGTGTCTTTGAAGAAATAATTGATGAAAACTTCCTCACTCTGGGGGAGGAAATAGTTGCTCAGACCATGGAAGCACACAGAACTCCCAACACAAGGGACCCAAGGAGCACACCACCAAGACATAATAATTAAAATGGCAAAGATGGAGGACAAGAACAGAGTATTAAAGGCAGCCAGAGAAAGAGAAAAGGTCACCTACTAAGGAAAACCCATCAGGCTATCATAAGACTTCTCAACAGAAACCTTACAGGCCAGAAGAGAATGGCATGATATATTTAATGCAATGAAACAGAAGGGCCTTGAACCAAGAATGCTATATCCAGCACGACTATAATTTAAATATGACGGAGGGATTAAACAATTCCAAGACAAGCAAAAGTTGAGGGAATTTGCCTCCCACAAACCACCTCTACAGGATATTAAAGGGACCACTCTAGATGGAAGCACTGCTGAGACAAAATAGAGGTCACCAGAAAAAATAAAATCACAACAAAGAAAACACACCAACCAAATACTAAGGGCAAGAAATAAAATCAACTACTCACAAAAGCAGTCAAAGGAAACACAAAAGAGCACAGAATAAAACACATCACATATAAAGAGTGGAGGAGGAAGAATAAGAAGGGAGAGAAATAAAGAATCATCAGACTGTGTTTATAATAGCTTAATAAGTGAGTTAAGTTAGATAGTAAAGAGGCTACCCTTGAACCTTTGATAACCACGAATCTAAAGCCTTCAATGGCAATAAGTACATATCTTTAAATAATCACCCTAAATGTAAATGGACTGAATGCACCAATCAAAAGACACAGAGTAATAGAATGGATAAAAAAGGAAGACCCATCTATATGCTGCTTACAACAGACTTACCTTAAATGCAAAGACATGCACAGACTAAAAGTCAAGGGATGGAAAAAGATATTTCATGCAAACAA